ATGTGTTTTGAGGATCATTAGATTGAAGTGTAATAAGATTAAGTGTATTTAGAAATAGATTAATTTGTTGAATTTGGAGGTTGGGCCATATGTGTAAGATAAGGGAAAGAGAAATCTTATTTGTAAGCATTTTGAACCATTTTGGAATGGGACCTCGAGGAGATTTATGGGTTCTAAGATAGATGTTTTTCCAAGGAAGTAGGTTATGGTTGTTAGCAGTAAGTACTTGTTCGAGGAAGAGAATTTTATTGTTTTTGAGACTTAGAGTTGTTGTATTATTTGGTGATGAGATAAAATTATAAATATCATTTAATTGATTAATTTGTTTGAAAATTGTTAATTGGTTGAAATAAGGATTGTTAAGTGAAATGTTATTTTTATATAAGTGAGCAAGCTGGGAAATTATGTAAAGTTGGATGTTTTCTTACAATTTTCTATAACTGTATTCTGAGTAAGGAGTGATTTTCATATTTTAGAGAGCCATTCCTTAATATGGTGTATAGAAATTTGGTTTAAAATTGTATTAGTATTAAAACATCTTTTTATGTTACTACTGCTAACTTGTAGCATAAGTTTATTAAGTGTTGAAATGTTGAGCAGATGTGGATTAGTTAGTATATTGTTGTTTGTATTTGTAGATAGGTGAAACATGTGTTTTGTACATTTTGTTAAGAGGCTTGATAGTTGCTTCAGTGATAAACCTCTTGTTATTTTACTGTTATTCTGTTATTATAATACTATTATGCTGCTATTATTTGACAAATATAGAGTAAAATAATAACAGATTTATTTTTTATTATTTAACCTTTATTAACTTTTATTTACTTTTTTGACCTGTGTATATTATATTAAAAATTTTTAACCATATTTTTTTATATATTTTTTTATTAAAAAATCATATGAATCTTTTTTTTAAATTAGATAATACAAAAGTAGTTTTAAAAATCATTTCGCCTGTTGAAAATTGACTACTTTTTAATATGATTTTATTTTAATAAAAGAAAACAAAATCATCAAAATGAAAAAATCAAATTATATAGTAAAGTATATATAAAAAATGTTTTTTTTAAACAAAAAATTTTTTTTATTAACCGATTTAACTAGACATGTTAAATTTTTAAAAACTTTATAAGACTATACTTATAATTTAATTTAAAAAAAATTTTTTTTAGAAAGCTTGTTATAAAAAAAAACATTTATTTATCTAACCATAATGGACGGACAAATATTTCAAAATATGATCACAGGATGAAAGAAAAAATTGAGTGATTTTTTTCTTAATGTATTATTTGAAGATTAATAATATTAACAATTCTCGATTACCATAATATCAACAATTCTTGATTACCAATAATCCCTATTTGTTAGAATGATATTAAGAAACACTAATGATTATCAAAGCTTTAACAGACGATCAAACAGATGAGGTACGTACGTACATACGTACAAGATTTATAATTATTGAAAGGACTACATTATGGATGCAGATGAAAATCGGTAAAACATCATTGAAAAAAATATTAATATGACAAACAGTAAAAATCGATTTAAAAAATTTACAATAATTTAATAAATAAATAAAAAAGTAACACCGACAAATATTGAACTCTTATATATTTAACTTTTTATTTTTTTTTACAAGATAAAGTTAATAAAGAGTAACAAAAGTTATATGAATCATCTTAACAGAAATAATATATATATATACAAATCTTTTAAAATCAAATTATTTGTTGAGTACAATGAAAGAGCATCATAAATCATTGCATCAAAAATAGTACCGAAAAAGATAGAATAAAAATGTAAAGGGGGGAGGGCAAGGAAGAAAAAACAAAGGAAAAATACTATTGATAATAAAATGCAAAATAATATTGGTTGAATTAAAATAAGGAAAAAAAAACAAATGCAGAAAAATCTCGATAGAAGAAGGCAAAAAGCCCAAACTTAATCAATCAATAGCAAAACCTATCATTTCTAAATAACAATAATAATTTGCTACAACAGCATTTTGGTAAAAAAAAAAAAGGTTGCTATATAATATTGCTTACAAATTACGATTGCTGTTGAGCCTGATATTTAAGACGTGATTGTGCAAACAAGAGTTCTTGTTGCCTCAATAGCTCTTCTTCAGTCATTCCGGAATTTTCCAACCTAGAGCTTTTCTTATCACGATCCTAAAACATATAGTAAATATTAAAAATTATTAAAAAATATTTAAAATTTGAAAATGGCAAATGATGAAAAAAACACATTGTTATAAAACGTACTTTCTGCAGTTTTTTGTGTTCCTTTAAGACTTCTTGTACTTCGTTAAGATAACTATCAAAACCCAAATGCTATAAAAATAAAAATTAATCAATAATGAAATAATATATAACTATAATAAGATGGAGGAAGTCAAAAATACCTTGAGTGCATCGATAACATGTTCCGCAGCAATCGTTTTTTTAGCGTCTTTTTCGCATATGTCGTTCGCTTCAGAAGCGATCAAATGAATAAATTCTATATTTCCGAAAGAAGAATAATAAAGAAATTGAACATTAATATAAAAAGATATAAGTAAATTTAATTAAAAGGTTTGTTTATTTTTTATAAAATTTCGAACAGAGTTTACCTACCGACACAACAATCTATTAGTAAATCACGAGTGTCCTTGGCACAGTTAATATCGGGCGGTAACATTTCTGTAATAAGTTTTGTGACGGTCGCTTTATAAAAGACGAGAAGTTAGGATAATATTTCAAAAAAAAAACAAGGCAAGTTAGGAAAGAAGCCAAGAAAGAAGACGAAGAAGTCGTAGTTTTTTTTAATAAATTTAAAAAAGGCAAATAAAAAGTCAACCTTTTGGAAGCGACAAGTCGTCATCCGCACCGTTATTGCCAAGCGTTTCTCTATCGCTCATTGTGACAACAAAGATTTCTTAGAACCGGATAGATGTATAATAAGGTTACCATCGTCTTGAGGATTAAGCTTGTCTTTATATAATGAAATATGGTTTCTCAACTATTCCGGTCTGTCCAAAGAAATGCCACTGCTCTAATGAACGGAAAAATTGAGGTTCCAAATTTGGACCCCATAATTTAGCAATATTTTCATTATTTTCATTATTTCGCAGGAACAATGTGACATAATTTTGGCCAAATTTATTACAGATTTACAAATGAGTAGTGTTGCATGCATAAAATACACGTGAATGCACGTGAGCATAATAAATACAATATATATATATATTATATACATATATAACGATAAGGTATCAGGTATATAATAAATAAATAAATTAATATATGTTGTAAGCAAGAACGGAATTTAAGATTTTAGGGTTAGAATATAACAAAAGTTTATATAAAATTATACCCTAAAATTAAAATGTTATTAAGAGATTCCGAAACCAACTTACAACATATAGGTAATCTATAATTTCAAAAGCAACAGTAAAATATGTTTTTTAAAATAAAATGGTTTTAAATAAATTTTAAAGAGACACTTTTTCAACAATCTTGTCAGTGATATTACTCAAAACTTTAAACAAATTTGAAGCAGAATATTTTTTAATCAGATCGTTATCGACAGAAGAATCTTGATTTTCTACTATGAGAGTCAGAGATGGGTCAATTGGAACACGGCCTATTAAAAAAATTTAATTAAATGCATGTAATCAAAAAAAAAAAAAATACATATATAGTAATCATAATGATGATAATATAATGATAACAATAATAATGATAATTCACCTAAAAAATCTATACTAAATTCATGTGCCATTGCTTCACCACCGCCAGTTGAGAACAAATTCGTACACTCCTAATTAATAAAGGATTAACAAAGGAATCACGTAATTATATTAGTAAATCTATTAATAAATCTATTAGTGAATATATAAGCCAATCGAGAAGCAATTAAAACCGAATCATAAATGAAAACTATTATTAACCTCACAATGGGGACATATAAATCCGCTCATATTTTCAATAATACCCAATATAGGTAAATTCACTTTCTTGCAAAAATTTAGCTCCTTACGCACATCGGCTAATGCAACTGCCTAATGAAATAAATTAAATAGATAATTTTTTAAATAATTGATTTTTTTTTTTTTTTTTTTTTTTTGGAATTCATAATGAATTAGTAAATTTATAAACCTGTGGAGTAGTTACAAGGATGGCACCATCAGGATTAGTATCTTTCAAGTATTCCACGACAGATATATGTTCATCAGAAGTGCCTGAAAAAAAAAAATTTTAAATTAAAAATGATATAATAATATATAATAAATATAAAACATAGTAAATCTAATCTATATTAAGATGATATAGTACCTGGTGGAGTATCGATAATTAGATAATCCAATTCACCCCAACAAACGTCAGACAGGAATTGTTTAATCATGGCTGCAAAAACGGTAAAAATTTGTGTGAAATATGTAAATTTAATATATATGATATCAAAAAAAATATTATTATATTCTCCACTCATTTACTATCATTACTAACCATTTTTTTTTGGCCCACGCCAAACAACAGAATCATCTTTTTTTTGAAGTAAAAATCCAATTGACATGCAACATAATTTTTGACTTTCATCCGTAAAAACTGGAACCCACCTTTTTTTTTAATAGTAGAATTCACGTTAGACATGTTAAAGGTATTATTAAAATTTAACCTTCACACATATTATATGTACTAAATATATTAGTTTAAGGCCAAAAAATATACTAACCCAGAAGACGCTTGATGAACCTGCCTATTTTCAAGTCCAAACATTCTTGGTATACTTGGACCAGTAAGATCAATATCGAGAATTCCAACCTTATGTCCTTTCTGCGCAAGACATAACGAGAGTTGAGTAGAAATTGAACTTTTTCCAACACCACCTTTACCAGATAGAACCAATATAATATGTTTTATATTCTCAAGATGTGTAGATATTGAGTCAGACATTATGAATCTTGATAATAACAATTAACGTTAATTAAATTTTTTTAAAAAATATAACGATGACAATAGATTTTTTATCATATCGATGTAAAATTCGACAATCACTTAGTGATGTTACACACATCAGATATCTGATTTAGATGTGTTTTTTAACATTAACGTTTAAGCATGCATGCAGGATTCTAATCTTTTGTTGCAGAATTCACTATAAAAGGTTAAGATAATTACATATCGATATGATCTATCTGCTATACGTAGTCATTATATATGTAATTATTATTATTACATAAATAATATATATCGACATTGATAAATTTTTAATCAGATAATTTTCTTGCAAGTCCGCATTTTTTTTGTTAGTGAACTATACTAAAAATAGATGAACAGCCGCAAGTAATCTACAAGTGATCTTTGGGTTAAACAAATAACGTAAAATTTTGTATACTGTATCGGTATACGTCAACAGAAAGACTTTAATTAAACAATAGTTCACCTCTGAAGGATAGTAAAAATAGCTAAAACTTGTTTGAATGCAGAGAGATTACATATACTTATACTTTCTTTGGGCTTCTAATAAGTTCCCAATAATAGTAAAATCAATAAAGTTGTTAAAATCAAGTTTTTTATTGACAAAAATCTTTCCAATATCGTTATGCATCGTTATTACATCATACTTTTAGATGTAGCAGTAAAGTTTTTTTTTTCTAACAGCTAAATCATATAATCGACCAGTCAAACCACATGAATTGGAAATAGGTATGACTTAGTTGCTGAATGAAGAAAAAAAAAACAAATATTGCATATTTAGCATTGTCGTATATAACCCGAAATAAAAAAAAATTATCTTCACGTCCACAACTCTAACTTAACGTGTATGTTTTTGATGATATATTAAAAATCAAATAACCATTTTCGGCTGAAGTGTGAGTTTGTTTTGATGACAAATCTTAATAAATGCATCAGATATATAAAAGCTTTATTTTTCTTTGTCGATTTTCGTTATACATATTCTCTTTCTTGGCTTAAGGGTTAAAAATCATAAACCGCATTTTAGCTATTACTAGGTTGAGTTGGTATGGTCGTAATTCTATGCACCCCTGCTCAAAGCTTAAAGTTTTACAACCATATATTATTTGAATAAAAACGTAACGCGGTGTTTGAGCAGCAAATAATAGTTGTAATTATGATTCTTATAACACGGCTTATATCCTTTTTTTTTCATCAATCAGGTATCGAACCCAACTACCACTTATCCGCTATTCGCTATTCACTGTTAGATAACGGATGAACCACTACACTGTAAAGTCTTAATAATAATTTCTTTATCATTATTAAAATTTATTATATCGTTCTTATTATTTATGAATCATAATCGGCACTATTAAATTTTTTGATATAATCGAAATTATTATATAATACAGTTAAGACTAGTAAAAATGTGATCACTGACTCTGAAAAACATATCAACGTGTAATTACTATCAAATTTAATGAATGGCTTTGGAGAAATGTTGTGTTTACCGGATTGTGTATTCTTTCACAATTTTAAACCGTTGATTTTATTTAAAACGATGAACTATATAACACCAATATAAGACTAGATATTGCTCGGCTACTATTCTTGCTTTTTAAATACATACATTTCTTGTAAATATTCTTGTTTAATATTAGGAATAAAATTTAATAACGCTGCGATGTTAACAGTTTTCGATCGTGTGCAGCTTTGATAATCTTTCCCTTCACTATAAGAATGAACCGCAAAAGGATTCATAGAAACCTAAAATAACGTAGAAAATTATATAACCTAAGTCCAGACAATAAGTAAGAATAAGGCTAATCTCAAATTTTACTATTAGTGTTAGTCAGTGTTATAAAAATCGGCTTAGCTGGCTTAGTTTATTATATAATTGATCTAGATGTATACATGGTGCAGAAACTATTGCGGATTTGTATTAAATTGCCGAAATATTTTCGGAAACTTTTATAAAAATCAATGCCGAAATACTTTTGAAATTGCCGCAGCATATATTTCAGATTAGAGACGTAATAAATCACCACGCCTACATAAGATTTTTATCATTGAGTGCCACCAAAAGAAAATTCGTAAATCTTATTAGATAAGATTGGCGGCACTCAGTTAAAGTACGTATTACGTACCAGCTTAATGATCTTCTATAGATAATACCAATATGTACGGGCTACGTACGCAGAATACGTAGTAAACTTGAAATTGTTACGTCCATAACTGTAAATTATTGTTTTGTATTCCTTATTTGTATTTTCTATTTACATACAACGAATAAAAGAAATCATAAGAATCCAAAATTAACCTTTTATGTAAAATAATAAGTTCGTTTCGTCTTGTTAATTTATACTTAATATCGTTACCATTCATTCTATATTATATTTTATTGTCTAATTTAGTTTACAAGCTGTCACAGATCCGATGCTTATTATAATTATCATCTATAACAATTAGAGTATAACGAACTACAAACCTTTTAATTCTATACAATAAATGTATGGTGCGGAATGGGTTGAACCCGCCAAAATTACTCAAATTTTTACTAATGCTAATTAAATTGCGTCCCATTAAGTGAAAAATGTTCCTGGGCTAATTTTACCATTGGACAAGCCTAAGCCTTAAAAATTTCCCTTTTTGGGGGGGGGGACGTCCAAAGCGGAGATAACTTATATAATTAATATTTTTGAATTAACTTTAGGGTTAGGGTCATCTTAGATTAGGGTGGGTTGGATTTTAGGTAGGTATATATGTGCAAAATTGTCTTCCCGACATTTTTACTTAACTTACCTGAGGTAGGTTTAGGTTTTTCGTTTTTCTTGTATTGTTTCGCCGGCGATCATCAAAATGCTATAATTTGATTGGCCCGCAGTCACGCGATTTATCTCCACTTTAAACGACCCCTTTTTGGAAATAAAAAATTTAAAAAAATCAATAATGCGGGCCAGAATTTTGCTGATCACTGCCGTTGGCCAATCAAAATCGAGGATCATCCACACTAATAAATTTTTCGATCACGTGAAATTATCCAATAACAAATCACGCCTTGGTGTAATGTAACACGTTCATTTTCAAAAATTCTTTTCTAACTCAAAAATTTGCTTAATAACCCGCCTTTCATGTTCTAACAAAAAAATTACTTGGGAAATTTTTACTATATTGTCGCATCATGTGATCGAAAAATTTTAGTGTCGTTGCTGGGAAAAATAGGCCACAATATTGACATCACGTGATGTAATAATTAAAAAGTTAGGTCTGACAATTATTGTTATCGTGATTACTAATCTTTAAATATTAATTGTCACGCTGAAATTATGGTTTCAAGATTTTGGATATTGAGATTTTATAGTAGATGGCCTTAGCCCTGAATAATCTGGCTATATAATTTTTCGGAGGTGTTATAGACGAAATATTCTGAAGTTACGGTTTTGATATTTCTATTATAAATGCATCAAGATCGCAATTTCGGTTATTAAAGCGCATAGAAGTTGCTTCGCTCTGAACAATGAACGTTAAAATTAAACAAAATTTCAAAACTCGTTTCGTTTTAATTGACCCCTAAATAAAAGTATCACCTCTTCTACGAGATCTAGATTTATAACTATCTTATCAAAACAAAATATGCATCAAATAATCTTAAAACATGTTATCGAAAATATAGTAAAAATTCTACTATTTGCAAAAAAAAAATGTTTAAAATTGAATTATTTTAAATTGCTATTGCATTGCACACATATTATTTCTAAAAGATTAATTATTTGTAGCATTGATTTAATAAATTCAGTTAGATAAATTCTTCAACTCCAGACTATATAATAATTCTTTGAAAATTTTTCCTATATTTTCATCTGGTAATATTATCTTCATTTAATGAACTATTAATAATCTTTATCGTACAAATAATTTCTATCTGTAAAAAGAGAAAATTCAAATTTTACAGAATTTAAAAAATAAAAAAAATAAATCTAACCCTTACATAATTATAGTAACTAGTATGTTTAACATTTATTAAATTAAGAAACATTAGCATGAATTTCATAAGGCTCCTCTCTGATATATCAATATACATATCCGTCTGCATATTTTAATTAAGACAGCACCTTTAAAATTCCAAATATGTTAAAAAAACCTTCAAATATCAAAACTTTAAAGTAAAGCTAATAAATAACACACAAACCAGCATAAATAAACCCAGGGATACTTATTTAACAGACTTTATCCTTACAAAAAATCCACCTTTCTAGTAAGATTTATGAAAGTCTCTTAAGTAACAATAGGTCATGCTCTTTTGTTAACTTTGTTCCATACTTTTTCTCCATTGAAAGTCGAGAGTCACTTTCAGAAGCTGTTTACTCAATGGTTCTAGATCCAACTGTTTGAACATAACTGTCTTTCTTTTTACCATATGCTTTGTGTTTTATTTTTAGTATGTTACTAAGTTCTTGATCTCTGTTTTTCTTTCAAAGCTTGCCAGTCTAGCCTTTTCTCTCCTGTATAAATGGTTCAAACTATAAACATTAAATATAAATGCTAAAATAATTGTAATTATTATCTTATCTATTTTACAAAAATACAAAAGGTAGATTAGAAAAGGCAATATCTATAGTTCACCAAACATTTATTCAGAACCAACTTTTGAATAATGCATCATTATAAGCAAATTGGATTTCATTTTTAATAAACAGGCTTTGTACATATATTTATTAGTAAAATAAGACATGTAATGGTAATAGTAATATACAAATTTATACTAACAATCAATAATTACAAAATATAATAAATTACTAACAATTAATAATTACAAAATATAATAAATTACTAACAATATAATATTATTACATAAACATATTTCTACTTATAATGACCTATTTTGTATTCTTTTTTTAACATTATTCAATTTTATCAATATATTTTTTATAAAGTACTAGCATATAAAAATAACAGATTTAACAATATAATTAACAAATTATAACTCTAATGCA